CAGGACGGTGCGGGCGGGAAAGGCACAGGCTTCACACAAGAAAATAACTGAAAGGCCCCACCAAGAGTGGTCAGGCCTCCAGGCCTGCCTCTTCCACCCGTCAGCAGAAGACCCAGAAATAATCACCAGAAATTAAACAGGAGGGCTTCAGGTTTCAGGGAGCCTGGGCAGGTCAAAGAGGGGGAGAGAGAATTGAGTGAAAGCTGCCATAAGAAATGCTTGGATCCCCAGCCCTCCTCACTGCCCCATGCCTTGGATGCAATGACCAAGTATATCCCTTCTGGGGGCGCAATTCAAGGAATCTTCTCTGGAGAAACTAAACCACCTCAAGGGAAAAAAAAAAAAAACTCTAATAAACACACTGACATTCACTGGTTCCCTCAAAAAAACCAGATGGCTCCTCAACCCCAAGCACCTTAAAGTGAAGCCCTCCAGGTGACAAGTCCTACCTTGTACACAGAGCTTTCAATCACTATTAAATATGGACATGGCACAAACAACAAAGAAAAGAATCCATCAGATGTCATCAAAATGAAAACCTTCTGTGCTTCAAAGGACACTATCAAGAATGTGAGAAGAGCTGACAGACTGGGAGATGGTATCTCCAAACCACACATCTAATAAGGGACTTCTATCTATAATATATAAGCTCATATAATATAAAAGCTCATAAGCTTTTATTATGGAATAAAAGACAACCCAATTTAAAAATCAGCAAAGGAGCTCAACAGACCTTCATCCAAAGAGGATATACAAGTGACCAATAAGCACAGGGAAATGCAAATCAAAACCACAAAGAATTCCACTTCATACCCACTAGGATGGGTATAATCAGAAAATATCAATTGTAAGCAGGGATATGGAGAATCAGGGACCCTCGTATAACTTCTAGTGAAAATGTAATAGGGTGCAGCCACTTTGGAGAACGGTCTGGTAGTTCCTCAAAAAGGCAAAGAGCTGCCGTATGATTCAGCAATTCCATACCTAAGTGTCTCACCAAGAAACATGAAAACCTATGGCCACACAAAAACTTGTATATGAAGTCCACAGCAGCATTTTTCATACAAGGTGGAAACCCAAAAGTCCACCAGCTGATGAATGGATAAACAAAATTTGGTATATCCATGCAATGGAGTATTACTGAGCCATAAAATGGAATAAAGTTCTGATTCATGCTATAATACAGCTGAACCTTGAACACATTGCATTAAGCGAAAGAAGCCAATCACAAGAGACCACATATTGTACGGCTTCATTTATATGAAATGTGCAGAAAGGCAAAGCTACAGTGACACCATTGGTGATGGCCTAAGGCTGAGGAAGTGGGCATAGGAGGTGGTAGCTAAAGGGTGTGAGGCTTATTCTGGAGGTGATGAAAATGTTCTAAAATCGATTGGTTGCACAACTCTGTGAATATACTGAAACACTAAACTGTACACTTTAAGTCAATGAATTATATGGTAGGTGAATTATAGAATAAAGCTATTAAAAAATATGGGACAAAAAAATATGGCCAAAGATTATAGATACTGACAGACATCAAAACAGAAAAAAAAAGGATGAAAAGGAAACAAAGACAAAGAAGGGAACAGAAGAAACTTTAAAAAATGATTCTTACTTCATATCCCCAGAAAGATAAGAAAAAAATTGTAGTCATGAAACAAAATCAGGATGTAATCAAAGAACAAGAAGGAACTCTTAAAAATTAAAGACATCATGGTCAAAGTTCAATATTCAGTAGAAGGTGGGGCAGAGAATGCCACCATATTCCACTAATCTAATCCACCACTAACTGTACCATGATCTTCTGAACCACTAAAAAAGAAAAATGCCATCAACTTAACTATGAATACACTAGCAACTGAAAGACTCATCCATCTTCTTCTATAGTCATAGAACCCTAATTTTATTCAGAATGGCAGTTTACTCAACTAAAAGAGTACATTTCCCTGGCTCTTTTGCAGCTAGGTGCAACCATACAACATAATTGTTGTGTGTGACTTCCAAGAAAGCTCCATAGAGGGAATGAAGTTGGCTTCCTCCTTCCTGATGCCTGGAGTATAAATATGATGGCTGGAACTCCAGAAGCCATGACCTTGCGCGCAGAAGCCATGCACTATGTATGGTAGATAACTGAGGAGGAGACAAGATTTCTGGTGATTTCAAGGAGCTGCTGGACCAGCCTTGGACAGTCTACCTCCAGACTTACTTTACATGAAAGAAAAATAAACTACTTATTTATGCCACTGCTACACTGGGTTTTATGTAATATGTACTCAGATACACTCAACCAATTCAGAAGAATTAGAAGATAAAGTTAAGGAAATCACCAAGAAAATGAGTTGGAAAATCAACAAAGAAATTGTAAAAATCACAGAGAGTAAGCCTAGCATATACAACATAAGACTAATAGGGGTTCTTGGATAAGAACACAGAGCCAACAGAGGGAAAGAAATAATATAAGTAAATTTCCCCAAATTGAGAAATATTAATCTCACAATTCAAAGTGCCTGGCTGAAAAAATCAGAAAGTAAAAACACACATATCCCAAAGCTCATCTGTGTGAAACTTAAGAACCTAAGGGATAGAAAGGAAACGCAAAATTTTCAGAGAAAATAAACAAAAACAAAACAAAAAACAAAAACCCAAGTGACATAACAAAGGACAGAGAATTAGAATGTAATCATACTACTCGTGTTTGAAGACAATGGAGCAATGTGCTGAAAAATGATTCTTGAAAATCACTGCTGGGAAAATGATTCGTGACTTAGATTCTATACCCAAACTATCACCAAGTACAAAACAACAGGCAAAGACTTGAAGCACACATTTTTCCTTTGGGAGGTACTAGAGAATGCTTTCCAGCAAAATAAGCAGAGACACCAGAGAGAGAGAAATATGAGATCTAGAAAACCATAGTTTCCATACAGGAGAAAAGTAAAAGCAGGCTCCAGATGACAACCACAGAGCAGGTCGAGAATAACCTCAGACTGGAGCAGAACAGAGGCATGCGGGAGGAGAATCTCCAGGAGAAAGGGGGAACTGATGAATGATTTGATGGGTGTGAGCATTTGGGGAAAAACTTTTTTTTTTTTTAAGATTTTATTTATTTGACAGGGAGAGAGACAGAGAGAGAGGGAACACAAGCAGGGGGAGTGGGAGAGGGAGAAGCAGGCTTCCTGCCGAGCAGGGAGCCCGACTTGGGGCTCGATCCCAGGACCCCGGGATCATGACCCGAGCCGAAGGCAGACGCTTAACGACTGAGCCACCCAGGCGCCCCATGGGGAAAAACTTCTTAAAAAAAATTTATATGATGGTTATGATGGAACAATACATAAAATTTTAATAGGATTATTTAGAAACACGCTAGTAAGAAAGCCATTTACTTGGAGGAAAAAACAAAAAAGTTGTACAAGAAATAAAATGTAATTATAATACATAATTACATACTAAGCATAATTCTTGGCTCTCTGGCGGTCAATCTGCATGGTCAAAAAAACAAACATTTTATTGCTTTTATTAAATTATACAAGTTACTAGATATGATAGGATTGAGATGACAAGGGGAAAAGTGATATAACACCACTAAGGTTTTTCTATAGTACCAGAACAAGTACATAATGTCTCTGTGGTGATATCAAGGTATAGCGAGACAAGGGTATGACTTTGAACTAAGGAGATAAGACCCAGAACAAACAGCAGAAATTTACATTGATTGCTTCTGGGGATTGGGATTGGGGCTGGGGTGGAGTGAGACAAAAATCTGATGCTTCTCATTATAAGCCTCTTGGTATTAATTAATAATATAACTTAATATCCATTGATTTAAAAATAAATTACCTATTTTTCATCCCAGGATAAAACAAAGATTTTGTATGAGGAGGACCTTCAGGATCTGACTCCCCGTTCCAGGTTTATTTTCCGTTATTCCCTGTCACATACCCGTACCTATGGCTTTCCCCTCTGGAGCCCACTTCCTTATGCTTCTTCCCCCAGGCTGTAGCAGCCCCTCCCGGACTGCGCCTGATAGATCCTGCCCATCCGTAAAGGCCCAGTCCGACTCCCTTCTGCTCGCACAGCAAGACTGCGGAGTGCAAAAACCAAGCACCTTAAAGCTCAGGAGCCCCAAGTCTCAGTTCCAGCACTGTCTCTTCTGGAGATCACCAGGCTCATGGGAGGTTTGATGATAAGGACGGACAGCCAGGCTGGAGGGTCCTAGCTAGGGGCCCGGAAGCCACCGGGAATTATAAATAAAATGCTTCTGAAATTGTTCAGAGGCTCCAACCAACACGCAAGAAGGCCTTGCTGCACTTCCCCGCTGCTGGCTAAGGGTGCACTTGTCCTACTCTCTTCCCTGCACCCCTTTTCTGTGTGTACTGGGCCCCTGGAAGGCAAGCCCCCAGAGCAGGTCCTACATCTACTGGTCTTAGAGGAGATGTTTCAAAAGCAGGGAGCTCTCCTCACATAGCACCCACCCAGGGGTGAGGCAGGGAAGGCAGCAGAGGCTAAGCCTATGGGCTGAGCTGTCTGGGAAGCTGGGTGCGTGTTTCTCTTGGGGTGAGCTACCTTAATCCTAGAGCCCACTTCTACAAGCCCTGCCCAACCCAACAGCTGCCCTACTCAAGCCCTGAAGCGAATTCTGGACTTGGCATTCAGAGTCCACGTGGGCTCTTTGCCTACCCCTCCTTCAGTGTCCCCTGAGGTCTTTTTCCAGTACTGTAGGCCCCTTGAGGCTGCACTTCCTGCCCGGACACGGCTGCCATCACCACCTCTCAGAAAAGGGCCTTCCTCACCAGCCCGGCCTCAGGCAGCACGGGCCAGCTCCCCGGCTCAGCCTCCCGCCTGTGTGGGCCCGTTTTCTGCTTGCACCGCCCTCTGCACTAGCCCTGCCCTCCCCGGGGTTTCTACTCGTGGAAAGGGCACCTGATGCCCACTCTTCTTTTCTCATTATCATCAGCGTATACCAGGGATTGGAAGGAAGAGTTTATCAAAGGGCTTACCCAGAACTTCACAAGAAAAAAGGCATTGGAAGGTCCCCGTTCAAAGAGCTCCTTGAGTCCCCCCTTTTTCTCTGGGAATTTGTCATAGATCTGGCGGATGTCCACGGCTTCGAGGTAGGGGTCACTGTAGCTTGGGCTGGACTGGCCGATGTGCACAAACAGGTGCTTGTTGTACTGTGGAGAGAAGAGAACAGCTGGATTGAGAGTCAGGTGCAAGGTAGCAGGGCAGACAGAGCAGACCAGAGCTCAGAGCACAGCCGTGTGACCTGGAGCAAGTAACTTCACCGCTCTGGGCCTCAGTTTCCCAACTGGTAAAATGGAGACAGGAAAAGGATCCAATGTAAAGCAAAGTCAACACGCATAAAGCCTCTGGGGCTGTGCCTGCACCTAGCAGGTTATTGGGACCACTGCAGTTATTGGGATCATTCTCAGTCCTGGCTGTGTCACTGAATATCGTTATGCAAGTCATTTTCTACCTTCGGGCCTCTCTTATCTCATCTGTGATGTCAGACCACTGACCTACATAAGGTGTTTTCAGATGTGCTCCACCCCGCAGATGGGGGCTGGGCTGCCTGTGCCCCTCACAGGCACCTGGCTACACCCAAAGAATGTCTACTTTGTTGTACACACTGGGCTTCTGAGTAAGAGTTGGATTAATGGCTCCTCAGCTGAAAAAACAAGTTTGAAAACATCAGAGTGAAATGGTCTGTCAAGTCCCCCGGGTTCTAGTGCCGTATCCGCCCTGCCTCCTCCAGCTCCAACTCCTCTGACCTTTCCAGGTGACGCTGGTCCCCCAGGACACAGACAAGGAAGGGGACCGGGTGGGGGTGGGGCTCTGCTCTCTGCTGGCATCCCCAGGATGTGGGTCAGACACAGAAGTCTCCTCAGAGCCACGGGGGAAAGGATGGAGCAGGGGGGAGCGCTGGGGGATAGGGCAAAGCACAGGGAGGGAAGAGTCCAGGTCAGGGAGGGAGCAGCAGAGGGAGAGGCCAAGGGTACTGGGATGGACAAAGAAACCAGGAGAGGGAGCCAGGGGAAGAGGGGAGGCGAGGAGGCAGAGTGAGGAAAGAAGAGGGAGGGGTGGACAAAGGAAAGGAAAGGGGGAGGGAGGGCCAGTGGACGGGAAGCCTGGGAAGGAAGAGGAGATCTAAATGAAACCCAGAAGTGGAGTGGGGCGGAAGGCCAGGGCGGGAAGCCAGAGGCAGGTGGGGAAAGAGCTGAACACACGGGAGCGGGAGCCTCCAGGAATGGGGGTGGGTAAGCGAGCTGGCCAGGCCCAGGCCAGGACCTACCGTATCAGGGTCCTGCTGCTGTTCCAAGAAGGCAGAGAACTCCAACATCCAGAGCTTGGAGCTGGCCACACTGCGGCCCTGCCACGGGGGTGCCGGGGGCGCTGAGGGCGACGGGGTGGGTCCTGCAGGAGACTCAAACCCTGCACACAGCGGGAGAGGCACATGGGGAGCGGTCCACACACGGCCTCCCTGCAGACAGTCTCTGCGAGGATCCCAGGCCCAGCAGTGAGACCCCGAGCTGGCTAGATCTCCTGCCTCCCCAAAGTAGACCTCCCAGCAGGGGTGGTGGAGAGGAGCACTTGGCCTGGTACCAGCCAGTCCCCTTGGGCCCCTGGGAAGAATTGTAGTCAGGGGAAAGTGGAAGCTGGATGGGGAGCCAGGATGCCAATGGGACTGAGAGCTTCCTAAACAGCACCACTAGGTTCTTGTCGAGGAGCTTCTGGTCCAGTCAGATAACCAGGCACAGCGACTGCTACAGTGACATAAGCCCCGTGAGAACAGGAAGGTTCCTGATCTGTTCACTGCGGTCTCTTCAGCCCCTACAACAGTGCCTGGCTCAGAACAGGCCTTCCCTACAAGTTTGCTAATAAAGGAAGTAAGGAACGTGGTAAGAAATGACAAGGTATGCACTTGGGGGTGGACAGGGAAGGTTTCTCCAAAGAAGGCGATGCTTGAAGGAAGCAGCAAGCACAAGCAGGAGGCAGGAGATGAAGACAGGGAAAGGACCCTCAAAGCAGAGCACAGGGCAGAGGCAAAGGGAAGGGGCTGTGAGAAGCTCAGGGGGTTTGGAAGCTAGGTCTTCGGCGGAGCTGGCGAGCAGGTGAGTTTGTGCCATGGCAGGAAACAAAGGTAAAGAGAGGGGTCCAGGGTGGGGCTAGGCTAAGTAAGCAGCATGAATTTGAGCCTGAGCGTTTGGGAGTGACAGAGGATTTTAAGCAGGGCAGTGGAATGATCAGACCTGCGTTTCTGGAAGGTCCTACCCAATATGAAGGAAGGACTAGGCAGGGAAGGAGGCCGTCAGAAGCATGGTCCTGGGGATGTTTTCCCAGGGAAAAAATGAAGAAGGATTGATTGAAAGCAGTGTAGCAGAGGGAAGAGTAAGGGACAGAGGAGGCACAAGAAGGGAGCAAAATCCCGGGCCCTGGTGCCTGACGGGATGTGAGAGAGCAGAGCGGTAGAATTCCAGAGGCCTTCCTTCCAGGCCAGGAGGAGACTGGAGGCCCGCGTGCTAAGGCAGGTAACTCAGGAGCACTCGAGGAAGGAGACGGAGAAGAAACAGAGGGGTGGGCGGAGGGCCATGCTGGACACGTGAGCCGTGCTTAATGCCCCAGCTGAATCACTTCATCTGTTCAAGCACTGCTCACCGAGGAAGGGTTAGGGTGTGCAGCCACAACTGGATACACGGAAGACGCAGACCAGTCATTCATAGACACTGCCCCCCTCAACCCCAGATACTGGCAATAAAGTGTCAAGTGCTAGATGGGGGCGCAGAGCGCTAAGGGCGCCTCAACTGGGCAGGGGCAGGGAAGAGAAGCTTGCAGGTGGACGGGAAGCCTGAGCTGAAGCCCAGAGGCAGGGTGGGTGGGGGCACGGAGGGAAGGAGGGAGAGGGGAGAAGCTGAGTCACCGAGGAGAGCCATGCAAGTCCTACTACAGACTTCAGATCGTATCCAGAAGGCACCAGGGGGCCAGGAAAAGATGTTAAGCCTAGGAACCACAGGTTGGGATGGATGCTTTATGAAGGTCATTGGGGTGAATTGCAGGGTGAAGAGGGGAGGCAAGGTAAAACGGGGGACAGGTCAGGAGGCTACTGCAGTCATGCAGGCCAGAGTAGGAGGGCCTGAACCAAGACAGGGGCCAGTGAGAGGAGGGGATAGACAGGACAGACTGCTCGGGGCTGGGAGAGAGCAGCAATCAGGACCCCAGGAGGGGAGCGCGCTGCTCTCGGAGCAGGACAAGCCAGGCAGAAGGTCGGCAGAGTCATTCCCCCGGCCAGAAAAGGTGGTTACGGGTGAGAATCCTCCCTGCCCTGCAGAGAGGAAGGTGGTAACGGGCCTTATGGGAAAGAAGCAAGTGTGCCCTGAGCAGTGAGAAGGAGGGACACCCACGCTCCACGCCTCCACCCAGGAGTGCTCCCTCTGCTAACCAGCAGCTCTAGGTCAGAAAGCTGTGCTCTCCTTGGACCTCCCATTTTGAAGGAGGGGATTACAGTGTCCCCAAGAGGGGGGCCATTCCAAGAGCCAAGCTGTTGCAAACACCCGTGCAGCATACGGGGGTGGCCAGCTGGAACAGGCACTCCCCTTTGAACTGCGTGCACCCAGGAAGGCCCTGAGCCCAAGCTGGGAAGCAGGTCAGGCAGCCCAAGCGGCACGAGGGGCCTGGTGTAGCGCAGAGGTGTGCGTGGTAGGGGCAAGGAATGGGGTAGAGCCAGGAGACTGGGATGTCTGGTCTGAGCACGTGCCAGGGCCGCAACTAAGAGGGCCATGAGATGTCCAGTTGTCGGGGGGCCTGGGACCCTGGGGGGGGGGGGGGAAGGGGCTGCAGGCGTGCGAGGCACAAGGGAGCCGCGCACTGCCAACACACCTGGCAGAGGCAGCGAAGGCTGGACAGCGTAGGTTTGCTGAGAGAACGGTTTCACACTGTGGGAGACAGGAGAAAGGAGGTGTAAGCCTTAGGGCAGGGGGCAGCCCAAGAGCCTCCAGCACTGTCCAATGCTGTGTGTGTGGCTGGCCCTGGTGGTCTGGCCATCAGTGGCCTTGGGGGGCTCTGGCCATCTGCTCCCTCCCTTGCCAAGTCCGTAAGGTTTCATGGATGACCCAGAGAAGCAGCGTTGTCTATTGGGCAAATCCACTCCTCCCTCTCTTCCTTCCCTCCCCTCCTCCCTCCTGCCCTGGCCAGCCAGAGGTCAGCTTCCTAGCCTCCCTTCTCTCGGGGTCCCAAGCTCTGGCCCTGCTTCACCATGGACAGACTGGCGTTTCAGCAAATGCCACCCCAGGGGGTCCACACTGCAGACTGAGCTGTTGCCTGCGAGCAGGAGAGCTCAACCCCAAAGCCCCAGCCCCTCCTGAAAGGCTGACCCCAGGCTGCAGCCCTGTCCCAGACTGGGAGCCAGGCTCCACAGCACAAGTTTATGGGCTCAAGTTCAGTTTGGTAGCAGGCCATACTCACTCATGGGATGTTCCGGCTTGGCCCGGCAAGGCTCCTTGCCAAAACTGAGGAGGCAAAAAGCGCAGAGTCAGCCCAGCCCCATGCACGGGGGCCGTGATGTGGGGGGGCCAGGCAGGGGCCTCAGCTGGAAGGCAGGGCTGGGGGCCTGGACCCCGTGGGTGGTAAGGAGAGAGAGTTAGCGCTACTATCCAGTACTAAATGTGTTTCGAGGAGCTCTAGTCTCTGGACCTGCTCTGCTGAGAAGGTTCTCCGGGGTTTGGAATCACGGCAGCGATAGTCCTCCCTCAGAAGCCCACAGTGCGTAGCAGCACAGAAGGCCTGACAGTCCCAGATTTAAGAAACCTATTTAGTTCTAAGTGTCCCAAACTTCCTTACACAGAATCACTTTGTGTCATTATCTAGGTAATACCCTGATGGACTAGTGGTCTCTGGAACACACTCTGAAAACTGCTGGAGAGGCTCACTGAACATGGGGCCAGTCACTGTCCCTTCCCCATGCGCCTAAGGCAGTGCTGTGGGTGCATCGTGAAGACCCATTTAGTCCCTACAGCCAAGACAACCCTGTGAGGACACAGCCTTTCTAGACCATTGTGAAAGTGTCACTAAGCTGGCCACGGTCAAGAAACTTAAAATCCCAACAAGAGCCTGTTCCTGAACACCAGCTCTCTGACTGGAAGGCGAGCAGGGCTGGGTGCCTGGGGGAGGGCCGAGTGGTGGAGGGCTGCTCAGGGGTGCGCTGGCACTGCCCCAAAGCCTCAGACTTCAGCCCGCATCCCGGGATGTCAGCCCCCTCGTCTCTCAATTGGGCCAAGTGCAGAGCTACTCAGTCAGTTAGCTAGTGGGGGCGGCTCTGCCCCCTGTGGAAGTTCTGCTGTGTCACTAGCAAGGCCCCCACGGAGGCAGGGCCAGTGCCGGCAGAGCTGTGCCTCAGCATGGCCCCTCGGCCCTTGGTCCCTCCTTCCCCCGGCTCTCCAGGCCTGGGAGGACTTGAGAGAAAAATGGGGCCCGGCCAGTGCCCCCGGCTCCTCAGGAGGGGGAGGAGAGAGGAGGAGGAGCTGGCGTGGCCTCTGACTCTAAGCAGCCCCACTTACCCCTGAGACTGCTGGGTGGCCTGGGCCCCGGGCGAGGGCCATTTTACTGTGGAAGGCTGTGGCGGAGATGGCCTGGGCGGGCGACATGGGAGCCATGCTCTGCAGGGCCTTGTCCTTAGCTGCCTGGTCCTGGGGAGACATTGGAAGGGAGGGCCTCAGCAGTGGTCACCATAGCAGGTGCGGGCGAGGCGGGGTCCGGGCTTGTGCTCAGGGAAGCTGTCCCACCGCCAGTGGCCAGAGGCCTGGACAAGGCCCTGGGGGACCAGGCTGATGCCTATGCAGTGCTAAGAACTTGGCTTGTGACTGAGCACAGGCCACTCGGTTCAACTGGTTCCTCTGATCAGTTTCCTCCTCTGTCAAAGGGGTAAAATACTTGTCCAGGCTATTTTATTAGACCATAAAGGGTCCTGGGAAACCATCTGCCAGACCGTGTCTCAATGAAGGCCTTTTAGTCCTTGCTCGCCTCCACACCACTGGCGGCTGGCCCGGCACCTGGCTCAAGGTAGATGGTACAGAAACATGTCAGAGCCCTCCTCGAATGGCCAGGAGGGGCCCTCCGTGCTCACCTGGACTGTCTAGAGGCCTGGGACGGTCTCCCGCGGCCCCGCCTGTCTCAGGCCTGCCTTATGGGTCTCCCCTTGCAGTGCGGACGCCCAAGGCACCCCTGCCTTTTACATGGCAGGTATCAACACCCGCTACTTGCCCTCTATGGGCCCAAAGACACCAAAGAATGGGTTCGCCCTGCACAGGCTCTGAACTAACAAGTACTCAGGAAAGCACCTGTAAGCACTTACAACACTGGTGAGAACAGTAATAATAATCTGTATATGTGTGTAAGCCAGCGGTCCCCAACCTGAGTGCCCCACTCCCACAGGTCTTCAAAATGATGACACATATTTCAGTACTTCTGTATTTCAAAAAGCCTAATGGGAACTGTGTTTTTGTACAAAGTAAGACCACATTTATAGACTGGAATGGCAAGCTTTATTCAGTTATGTGTAACTTAATTGAGGCCAAAAGATTGGATTATTTCAGCTCAGGAGCTCAGATTAGGAATTCTGTCTTTATGATGAGTATTTTTAAATGGAAAAAATAAATTAGTCATCATCTGGTAATTAAGTTGGTAGCCCCAGACAAGTGTAAGAACGGACGGAGGCCCTTGCAGCTCACAGGCGCTTCCCCGTGACAGTTTCTCCCAGCCCCCACAACAGCCCTGTGAAGCAGCACCACCGTGGGGGCATGAGGCTCTGGGGGCCCAGGTGGTCCCCCAGCGTCCTGGCACCTCACGACTGTGGAGCCAGAACCAGAGGCCCTGCCACTCGGTCTCTCCAGGACCATGTACACTCACGTGGCACAAGATGGCCCACAGAAGGTCAAGAACACGGCCTCACTTTGATTCTGAACATCACAGCACTCCCGTGAGGCTGGCGAGACTGGTAGGATCCCCATTTTAAGAGGAAGAAACAGAGGCTCAGAGAATTTAGGGCGCTGACAGTAGTGATGGCTGGCCCGAGAGCTTGGTCCAGGTTGGCTGTCAACTCAGCACTGGGCCTCTGGGCCTCTGCAGGCCTGGGGGGTGGGGGGGCAGGGGGAGGGAAGAGTGCGCACAGCACAGCAGGCACAGACCATTCTGAAAGGAGGGCTCATCCTCAAACCACCGTCCTTTTGGGTCCAACCTGGGCTTTGCTCTTAGAGGCTCTCTGATAACCAAAGAGGGAGCTCTCAGCATAAGGTGGCCTCTTGCCAAGGACACGTGCACAGCTCAGGAGGGAAAAGCCAAATGTGTCCAGGCCGGCCGGCCCCGGCCTCTCCCTCCAGGAGGACATGTGTGATGCAGCAGGCCATACCCTCAGAAAGCCTGTGGACCTCTGTGGTTAACAACTGCACCATGAGGCTGGAGAGCTCCATCCGCTCAATGTCTGCAACTTACGGCCCTTCCCAGAGAGCTGATCTCAACAAATGACCGGGGCTCAAGAAACGTCCTCACCCAGGGTAGAACAGGAATCAGGGGGAAGTGGGAAGGACCTAATGGGGAGTGACATAAATGACCAGGTTACAAGGCCAGGGAGTCACTGAATTTGGGGCTGGAGAGGACCTCAGATACCACCTTGCTTCACCGTGTCATTTCACATTTTAAACCGAATAGAGCTCAAGGAGAGCCAGTGACTCCTCACGCTCACATGGCCCAAGGGGAGAGCCAGCTAGACCAAATCCCGAATCCTGGAGGATTTCTACCTAGGAGAAGTCTGTCCACCAGGGAGACAAATTATGTTGGGTCCCAGACCCCTCTGAGAATACGACAAAATCCTCAGACCACTCTCCCCGAGAAAACGCACACACATAAAGATCTGCATATTATTTAAGGGGCTCATGGCTCCCCTCAATGTCTGTCTAGTGGTCTATGAGAGCTCTCCCCAGCCTCTAAGTTAGAGCCTATAGACAAAGGTAGCAATTCCTTGAAGTAAATGTGGGCCATACGGTCCCCAAGGGAATTAAAAGTTTCCCTCAATGGCTATAAATAGAACACTGGAAAGTGTCTTCTCCATTCTGGCTCCCTGCCAGGGTCCCAGTGAGTCAGAGGCAGACCAGAGAGGGAAGTAGGGAGCAAGCTGGACTCCAGGCCCCAGGGGTCTCCAGGAGTACATGTGCCCAGCCTGAGAGGGAGGGAGCGACAGCTGAGGCCCAGCCACCTGTCCAGGGGACAAAGGATCGAGGTGCTGGGCTGCAGCTGTGAGGGCGGGGGACAGCTGGGCTGAGTGGGCAGTGGGGCGTGGCTTCCTGGGAGTTCCCACCACTCATTCGGAGCCTCCAGTGTCAGGATCATGGACAACCAGAGCCACATGGGACCTTCAAGCTCATCTAGTGCAGAGGTTTTTAACTGGGCTCTAAGCTACTCTGGGGTTCAAGAGCCATGGAGCATGAGAGGTAAATAGGAGCAGGGAGTCTCTGGTCTATTCTGCACCAACCTAGCTTTGACCAGGGTAGCTCCTTTGATAACATATGGGTGTGGTATTTTGTTTGGGGAAAAAACAAAAGGGGCCTCCACTGCTTAAACAAAGTGTGTTAACTGCTGGCCTCAGTTTGAGACCCCAAATGTCAGCTCTTCCTGCCAAGTAGCTGGGCAAGCTCTGCGATGAACACCTCTATGATGCGGAGCTCATTCCCACCTGGTATTCACCAAAAGGGTCCCCTGACTCTAGTGTCCAGGAGGCGCACCCCATTGGGGGGTGGCTGGCCCTGTGAGGTGGGACTGATCTGGGAAGGGGAGAGAACTGCCCATCTCAGAGAGCAGAGCGTAGGAAGGAATTCCACCAGCTCCCACAGTACCATCCACCCCACCCCCACAGCAGTGCCTCCCAAGCCTGACCACCCCACAGGCTCAGTGGATGGCAAGGAGGGGCCAGGGCCTCCAGGAGGTCCTCAAGGAATAGGGTGTGGAGGGCAATCCTGCTGTGACCTCGGGATGCTGTAGAGCCTGGTGATCATAAACACACACACACACACACACACACACACACACACACACACACACACACACACACACCTCTGACATCAACTGTCATTCCGTGTACAGACAAGGAGTAGTTACAGGCTGAATCCCAGGAAGCATGCTAGCTCTGCACATGAACAGCCAGCCCCTGAACCCAAAGGGAACACTTTTCCTACTGGAAAAAGAACCCTAACTTCCAGGAAGTTGGCCCCACCTGTTGCCCTAGGTCCTCCCTCCCACTGCTGCTGGTTTGCCTTACCTTTAGCTTGGCCTGGATCTCGCGGGCTTTGCGACGAGCCAGCACCTGGATGTGGCTGGAGACCTGTAGCAGGAAGAGAAGGCTCCTGTCCCTACCTCCCAGGAACCCTGTGCTCCCCCTGCTGGCTCCTCGACCCTCAGCCCTCCACCATCCTCAAACCACATCTGAGTGAATGAGTGAATGAAAGGGGCAGTCAATGATGGGCCTTCAGTCCTGCCACATCCAGCTAATCCAGAGTCTGGCAATAAATCAAAGTACAACGCCAGTCCTTCACTCTCTGTTCTTCTGGTGTCCTGGAGAGGGGAGGGGAAGGACTCCCTCCCAGCTGATGGCAGCAGGGACTGCAGGGAAACTGAACGGTCTGTGGCATACCAAAAAGAGATAACCCCTCTGAACCAGCCCCACCAAGAACCCACCCTCTGTCCTGCAGAGGGCCTGGCCCACCACGGGAGCAGACTGGGACTGCTCCCAGGGTACCTACCCCTGGGACCCACGCTCATCTCCCAGGGCCCACCTGCTTCCTGGTGCGCGTCTTCCCTGTCCGGAGCTTGATGTAGCGGGCAATCAGCTCATTCCGACCTACAGAGACACCAACAGCCTCTCAGCAGGAGAAGGACAAAAGGCAGAAACACAGGAGGATCTGGGGATCCCTTCCCTCATCCTCTGCCCACCTTGAGTGGGGACTTGAGGTGAGGATTCTGCAGGTGTCCTCCATGGATCCCAGCAATCTCCCAGCAGCAAGAGGAAGCTGAGGCCTTGCTGGGGGAGTGGTAACCTGAGAGCAAGGTGACAGGGCTGCAGGCACCATACAAACTCGGGGAGCTCCCTTCTCCCACGCTGGCCACCTCCTCCCCCCACTCCACAGCAGCCTGACAGCTGCCAATCTGTCCTGCCTCTTCCTGGGGCCTTCTGCACACTTGGGAGGTTGCAGGGCAGTGCCTGGGCCTTGATGCTCCCCCATGCACACCCCCCCCGGCCACTGCCCACAGCTTCCACCACCTCCATAAATGAGCAGGACCTTACGAGATGTCTTGCCTTGTCTCCTGACGGGAGACAAAAGTGCTGAGACACTGAGCATCCCCAGGGAGGAGGCCCGAGGCCCTGAACTCATAAAGAAAACCTGGGCAGACCACATCTGCAGCTGCATGGCTCTGACCAGACCAGTCAACAGGTAACACCATCTGTGTGCCATGGGCCCAGTCCCCTAGAGGCTGAGGCTGTGTCTGAGGGGTCCTGGAAAACTGTAAGGAGCCACCCACGACCTCTACCATTGTAAATGCAATTATGAAAGGAGGTTCTGTTTTCAAAGAAACCACCACCTAGCTGAGGAGAGACGTGTGTCCACGCCATAACCCCAGTGCGGGCCATGGACAGGGAGCACACAGTGTGCTCAGCGCACAGGGGTCAGCTCAGGCTGGGTGGTCAGGTGAGCCTTCCACTGGACCTTGACCACTGGGTAGGATTAGACTATAAAGAAGGGCACTGGGCTGGGGAGAGGGAGGGCAAGGGGGCTTGAGGGGGAGCTATCACGCCCCTGGGCCAGCTCTGAGGCTCAGCCACCAGCCCCGCCCCATCCTGCCAGCCTCGCTGAGCCTGCAGGGCTGTGGCTCTGAGTAAGGAGGCTGCTGGTGCAGGGGGCGGGGCCAAGACGAGTGGGCTGCCTGCCACCCCACTGTAACCAGAGAGCACAGCCAAGGCCAAGCTGGCCCCCCAGATGACCTTTCCCCACTGCCAAAGCTGAATTAAGAGGCCACCCTCGGGAGGTCTCGTCTGCCAGAAAGACTAGCTGGCCTGGGAGCGCTGGACGGTCTGTGTCAGGGGAAGGAGGGAGGGCGGGAGGATCAGACTCTGAGGCTATCACCTGTGGGCTGGTCTGCACCTACAACAGGGATCCAGTGACATGTCTCTTCTCAAAACTCTCCACGGAGAAGTATTTCACAGCCTCCTCTAAACGGATGTCCAAAGACGGTTCAACAGTCCTGCGCCATGTCTAACCAGAGACACTCACGCTGCAGCTAGGAAATGCTATGATTGCTGGCCGGAGTCTAAGTCATCACCGTAAGCGGGTCCCAGAACTGGGAGTTGGGGAGCCAGGTGTAGCCCAGTGCCTCCACAAACAAGATATGGGATCTTGGCAAGTCCACTGCTCTTCTTAAACCAGGCCCTTTTAAGGTTCTTCCTCCAGATTATTCCAATCAAATGTTTAGAGACTTAGGAAACAGACCTTAACCTGGGCTCAATGAGAGCTCTCTGTGGCTCAGTTTCCTTTGCTGTAAAAAGAACAGGCCCGTGTGAGTAGTCTAGTCAGGGCCCAGCCTGGGAGCGAGGAGAAAAGCAAGGGAGGAGAGAGGGTTCCTGAGACCAGGAGGCTGATCACAGAGCTGGAGGGCACGCTCCAGAGAAGGGTGAGCAGGAGAGTACTGGGGCAGGGGAATCGATTGTTTATATTACTGGCAAGGTTCTGATCAGGAGTAGGCTATCAGTAGTTAAGTTTTGGGGGAGTCAAGTTATGTGTGGATTGTCCACTGTGTCTGTGTGTGCGGGCAGGTAGAGGCTGGCACCTCTAACACCCACACTGTTCAAAGATAAAATGTATATCCAGAATCTAGCCACTTCACACCACCTCACCCTCCATGGTCCAAGCTCCTATCCTCTCTGGCCTCAACTATGACAATAACCTTCGACCTGGATCCCCTGCTCTCAGCCTATTCTTAACACAGCAACCACAGCGATCCCATGGCTCAAACACCCTCCCATGGCTTCCCATCTCACTCAGGTTGCAAGTGTTCAAGCCCCTACAATGGCCTGAAAGCCCCCACAGGGCCTGTTCCCTCCATCCCCAGCCCAGCCCCTCTCTGACCTTACAGCATCTCCCACTGGTCTCTTGGCTGTTCCTGAGACATGCCTGGCCCACTCCCACCTGAGGGCCTTTATGTGCCGTGTTCTCAGCCCAGCCACACATGGCCCACTCCCTCACCTTCCCACCTTCTTTGCTCAGGTGCCACTGTCTTAGAGACAGTTTCCCCGCCCCCACCCACCCACCTTGGACAGCCTACCGTCCTTACTGTTCTCCCCAGCACCTTCGGACACACCATGTGATCTGCTTACTCACTCGGAGCCCTGCCTACCCCCACCCCCACTCCCAGCAGAAGGAAGCTCCTGAGAACAGGGATGTCTGTCTATTCACTTGTTCACACCCAACACCTAGAAAGCTGCTTGCTGTTTTCTGTAGTAGGCTCCCAATAAATACTTGTTAAATGATAAAGCAATGGCGAGAAAATGCTGACCACATGTCCCACAAGGCGTTTTAGCCTACTACAGGTAAGGTACACATTAAATAAAAGCAAATTACCTTTTACTTCTGATTAGTCCAACACAGCTGTTTAAGTGCTTTCTTATCCTGGCCTCATTTGAGCCTCCACATGCAGGAGAAAATTCAGATTTTTGTGGAGCCTAAAGCATCTAAAACTTGGGAAGCTCTCTTTGAGAAAAATAATTTAAAATATAAATACAAAATTAGGTAAAGATCATTTTGGGTTAAGATGGACATGTTCACTCTCCTGGCGGTAGTAATTGGCTTCACAGGTGTGGTTACATCCATCAAAACTTAACCAAATTGTCTACTTCAAATATGTATAGTCCACTGTATGGCTATTATACTTGAATAAAATTACTTTACAAATTTAAATTACAAATAAAAAGATTAGGGACTTGGAAGGGGGACATGCAAGTGATGGTCCTGAAGCGTGACCCTCACTAACTCCCCAGCAAACCTCCCTCCCTCCTACAGAAAGGTGGGCAATCGCACCTAGTACCAGATGGGGACACTGAAGGCAGAAAACCTCACCCGGATCACCCACCCACAGATCTAACACTGACTGCCTGGGCTTGAATACTGGCTCAGCCACCGCCGGCGGCACAGGGAGTGTCCGGCACCCCGAAGATGCTCTCTATCCCCGGGCAGGCCTCCCAGCCCCGTGCACAGTGGCCCCTCCTCCGCAGCACAGGACGAGCAGCAGCTAGGCAGCCCTGTGCCCGCCAGGGGCTTGAGACCCTTACTCCAGACATCAGAGAGGATGGTCTCCTGTGCCAGGAGCACTGGGTCTTGAAGACAGAGCCCCCCCTCCTGGTCCCACAACAACCTCTGCCCTCTGCTACAGGGTTCGGGAGCTCTGCCACCACACAGGCCATGCTGGGGGCCACAGGACCCAAATCCAAAGGGTCTAGGCTGGCGAGGCTGTATTTTTCCAAGTTGTGCATCTTGCCCTCCCTTTCTCTGGAACAGCATTCCCCTCTCCTTTACCAGCTCATGTCAGGCCATTATTCCACCCAGCCTTGTTCTGCTCATCAGAGGTGACGCCAGGAGCTGAGAACTCCCCCTGGGCAGGAGCGAAGTCCTGGGTCTCGGGGGGTGTGCAGAGCCACGAGGCGCTGACCAGCTTCCTTCCTGCCACCGGGGTGCTTCGGAGGTCACCCCGGCCAGCTGGCATCAAATCCAGGCTTCACACTTACGTAGGGGGGCTGCAACAGCGTCTCTCGCTCTCGTAACTAGAGCAACAGTTGTGAACATGTACTGAGCACGGATGTGCACTAGTACCTGTGCAAATACAGACTGTGCGCTGGGGAAGTCGGATCTGTGCTCTCCTTTTCAATCCTCATGGCCGCTCTATGCAGCTGCTACTCTCATCACATTCTACACACAGGGAAATCGAGGCCCACACAGATTCGGAAAGCAGTTCAGGGTCACAGACCAACAAGTGGTCGAGACCGAAACCCATCCAATCTGGTTCCAGAGCCTGTCTCTTCAGGATCACACAGTATGACTTCTATTTAACGTGGGAGTGAGGGCCATCTCTCTCAGAAGCGAGGGCCGGACCTGGTGCCCCCGAGGTCTTATGTAGCCTAGGGAAGAAGTAAGTGTGGCCCAGAGAGGGGAAATGATTTATTCAAAGTCACACGGTTAGTGTCCCAGGTGCTATGAGAACATACTCTTCTAAGGCTTCACGACTATCATACAACGGCTGCCCCCCCTCGGCTGGGCTGGGAACTACCTCTGCAAGACACCACAGCGCTCCTCCCTCTGGATTGATCCCCAGATTCTCCGGGTCTCTGCATGATGCAAAGCCCTTGGCTATGTCTGATTGCCCCTTGCCCTGACCCAGGTCCTGGAGGAAAAGCCAACTATTTGGACCCAAGAGCCTGCCCACTCTTTTCACTCTCTCATGGACTGTGGCTCCCCCAGCTGATAGAAACCAACATGTCGTGCATGATGTAGATATCAGGAGGCCACAGAGTCAAAGGGAGACGCGGAGAGAAGTAGGGAGCATGTGTTCAGAGGCTGAGCCCTGAAACCATACTGCAGGCCAAGAGAGCAAGGGCAGGAAAAAACAAGTAGAAAATCCAGATGAGTTAGTGGGGGGAAAGAGACCCACATCCTTGTCCCAGCTCTGCCATGTGCTGCCCAAAGCCAGGCCTGTCTTTTCCCCTCCAGTGCAGAGACCACATGCTGGGCTAGTGGGAGGCCAGCCTGGACCTCAGCGGGGCCAGTTGGGCAGCTGGGCATTACAGTGTGGCAGGTG